TATGATGGGATAAAGTTTCAAGTGAGTTCGCACAATACCTAACTTCAAACGATCATACCTCTCTTGATATGAAGGGTTATATGGTGTATTACCTATCAAATTAAATCCCTTTGAGTTTAGTTTCCAACACTTCAAATCGTTTGTCATTTGGACATTCCTACAAGAAGTTATGACCAAATCACCAAAGGCTGACAAAATGCAATTTTGCGAACAATTATGCGACCATTATGCGATCGCAAAATGGTTATGCGACCGCAAGCTGGTCGCAAAATGGTCCAGAACTGCCCAGTACTGGGCACCGAATTGTGCGACCATTGTGCGACCCGCACACCAATTGTGCGGTCTATTGTGCGACCGCATAGTTGAATTCGGTGGGTTAATTTTCCTCTTTTTATAACTCTACCCCATTTTGATAAATAGGTTTTGGTGCTTAGTTTGGGATGTTTTTCTGAGGATTTTAGAGAGAGGTAAGAGCACTTTAGAGAGAGAAGGAAGGAACCTAACATTATAGTCATCCACCCTTGCACCAATCTTCAAGAATCAAGGAAGCTAATCACAAGATCTTCATCTAAGAGGTAAGGTTCCATACCCTAGTTTCCAATTTTGAAATTGGGTAAAAGATGGTTGATTTGGAGTATGATTCTTGGGTATAAGAGTATTATTAATACATGCTTGTACTAATAAGGTTTGTGGGAAGATTGTTGAGCTCAAATAAGTAAAGATTGGGTTGTGGAGTGAAGGAAATCTTGTAGAAGAACATTGTAGTTAGATTTGCATACCTAGTGTTTGATAAAATGCTCAAATGAGCTAAGATCATGAATATCTTCCTAATAATGGTTCAATTTTGTTATGTCTCAAAATAGATTGGGATTGCTAGAATTTTTGAAATATTGTAGTAATTTAAGAAAAGCTCAAAGCAAGGTATGTTGGCTAAACTTTCTCTCTTGGAATCGAATTCCATAATGTTTCCGTAAGTTTCAAAGTGCGGGTTGCGTATTAAAAGGTTATGGCTTTGAGTTGTGTTTCAATAAAAGATAGTATGCCAAATTGTGTGAGAAAATTTTAATATTCTTAAGACTCATAATTACTCATATGTGTACCTAAAGTCTTGATTGCAAATGCCTTATTGTTGATAACCTATAAAGGTGGTTGGAAATGAAATAATTGAATTGGGGATATAGAGTGTGGCCAACGTGCCAAGAATTTAAGTTATGACTGTGGCTAATAGTGCAAATAATTTGAGAGAATGCGGTAAAGAATATGAAATGAGCCTCGACTCAACTGTGTTAAAAGTGATTTGGAAAATAGAATTTCCCTAAGAGCTTTTGTACTCAATTCATGCCCATTTGTGGCTGCTTTAACTTATGCTTTGCTTTATAAATATATCCAGTGTGATTCGAGTTCTATATACTCATGTGGTGAAATTGTACATTGTCATTTCTGGGAAGAGTATTGCAAGAGTAAATGATCTATTGATTGTTATGATTCTTCATGTGTGTTTCTATTGTTAGTTAGTATGCCTCATTCTTTGGGAAGAAACCAATTGTGTTGAAGTTCCCATTTCAAATGGGTTTGAAGTATATGATTCTTAAATTTTCTATATGTTGATATTTGATGGTGATTTTTGAAATTGAAATGGGAGAAAGTGTGGAATATGAAATACGACCATCGTGCCAGGAATAAAGAATCTTGTGAATGGCCAAATGAGCCAAGGAAAAATTGTCATTATGAATAACTGGAATTACTAATGAGAATTTATACAATGTGAAAGATATTGAGGTGAGTACAATTGTATTTATGTTATTTTTGTGTGAAAAATTAAATCAAAATATTTTTGGGAGCATCATTAGCAAAAACCGAGGAAGGGTGGGTCATAAGGCCCACACCTGAAATTACATGTGCCGATGTAGGGGTGGATTGGGATTATTCCCCTTATTTAGAATGAAATTGGTACCTTTGGGAAATTATGATATTATTCCCCTTAATTGGGATAAAACTGGAACCTTTGTGGATTGGAAAAGTCAATCCACACGGCATATGTGGGAAGGCGGCCTAGGTGATCGGGTGGAGATCAAACGCCATGTTGCGCACATGGTGGTACTACTCTTGGTAACAATTTTCTTTCGCATCACCTGTCAAACCACATTGTCCGTGGGGAGATGGCCTAGCCGATCGGGTGTGATCGGACTCTGTGCTAACAAAGACAGTGGTATATCGGTGCTAATGATTTCCCAACCAAAAATTGTGTATGAAGTTCGTATTTTGAAAATTATTATGTTTTAACTGGATATTTGGATATTATTGATTATGAATTGTTGTTTCTATATGTTGTCTTTTCTTATATGGGCATTCTATTTTGAAAGAGGACTTTTAGCTATACATACTAGTGCTATTCGATAGTACTAACGTCCCTTTTGCCGGGGGTGCTGCATCTTTAATGGATGCAAGAGGTTCTACAACAAGCGGCATTGATCAGTGATAACAGTACACTCTTTTCAGCTGATCTGGTAAGCCCCATTTTATTTCAGGGTCATGTATCTTTTATTTTTCATGTACTGTGTTTTGAGGTATAGCCGGGGTCTTGTTGCCGGCATTTTCATATTACTCTTCTATTGTACTTAGAGGTCCGTAGACAGGTTGTGGGTGGTGTATGATATTGGAAATTGAACTAGAAATGTTGCTATTTGGCAAACATGCTTTTCATTAAATCTATAAAGTTGTAATACTTTGGAAATTATGAATGAAGTTGCTAATGGAATAAAATGGGAGTTGTTAATAAATTATATTCAGTATTTGATTAATGGAATGTATCTCCTCTTTATTCATGGATAAGTTTGGGTAGAATGAAATCTAATAGTCTTGCTCGGCCGGGTTCACTCGGTTGAGCACCGGTCGCGCTCCCCGAGTTTGGGGCATGACATGAATGCCTAGAGTTGGGAAAGCTTGCAATAATGATCGGGAACTTTGCTCAGGCACACAAGGGTGACACAGGAGGGACCGCCTGCATTGGGGAAATGCGCTTGGAATCTAAGTCAAAAGTAAAGGATTCCAAAGCCTATCTTAGCGCCAGCAAATTGAGCACGGTGGTAGCAAGAAAAGTTGGGCGTACATAGTTGAAGAGGATGGCAAGTTACAAAGTGATGGCACGTTATCGGACCTAGACGATGCACCAAGCAGAGGGGACAAGTTTGCTAGAAAGGATGGGATCACGGAGGGCAACCAAATAGGGAGTGGAAGAATGGAACCGATGCTTAAGAAGCTGCTAGACTTGGTTGAGTCATGGGGAGATTCAGGCCAAGAGCAAGGAGAGGCATCCGATGGGCAGAGGATCGAGGCCATCATTGATAGCCATCCAAAGTACAAATAGGGCAAGAAGAATAGTGACTAGTACCTTGTGACATGGGAAGGCGAACCGCTCCATATAGCATCATGGCTAATGGACAAAAATCTCCGACGACACCAAGGCGATGTGCGTGCGTACGTGTCGATGCTTTGTACCGAGGGCGGCACAAAATTGGGTGGGGGAGAGTGCTATGACCCGCCACATCATCATGCCGCGTAGGTGCCATTTGGCATATATTAATGTCATGTGTAAGCTTACATATGAAATAGACTAGCACATGTGGGAAGGTTCTAGAGAAATATGTAGATTTCTCATGGAAGACCTTAGAACCCTATGGAATTGCTAGGAAAGTCCTTAGAAAATTCTACCTATTTAGAATATTCTAGAGAAGAGACTTACTTGTAAATAATAAGGGCCTTGTGTATAATTATTATTTACTCACTAGTCCTTATGAAACTAGTATATAAAGGGGTTATTCATTTGTAACTCATCAAGCAAAACAATCAAGTTCTCTCTAATATAAAAGCTTCCTTTGGCAATTATCTTGTGTTCTAACATTCCATTAGCGATCTTTAATGTAGTAAGGCTGACTTGACATAACAAGAACGTGAGTAAGCTGTGCAAAATTATGAGTAAGTAATTGTCAAGTAATGCACATGTACTTAGTCAAATACGAAGGACGTAACATATGTTTGCATAATGTCCACCCTACATAGATTGGATAGGATAGGATTGTCTTGCTCCCAAAGTAAACAAAGAAAGAAGTTGACAAAATAGTGAAGACAAATATGGTATAGGTGTAAACTATGTTAGGGCCACTCTCATTTCATGTAGAAAATGCGTAGTCGTATCTACTTTGAACAAGTTGTAGACCATATTATCCTCCAATAAATTACAATGAACTTTCTTTTGTAGATTATTTAATGCATCAACATGCCTTCGTCACCTATCATTTGAACCAGACATATTAAAGGCATCCCAATTATTATGCAACTTTCCTTTTTTAAATACAAAAAATGACTTTTTGTTCCCTTGATAATGTCATGTATCATCATATTCTACTCTTAAATAGTGTTTCACCATTCCCATGATATTTACATTCTTTTACGAATCACAATATTATTGTCATATTTCTCTATCATTGCATATTGGCCAGTGATGGCTTCTAAAATATATTTCTATTATATTCTGTCCCCATTCCCTCCCCTCCAAAGAATCCTTCTCCTACATCATAATTCATAATTAAAGTTCGGCAGAAAGACAAGATAAGCCTATATTTTAATGGGCAGACTTATTTGAACAAGACCAAGGTAACTTAACCTAGCTACATCATGTCTCTGCAGTTATTTGTCCAAAGAAGAGAAGAACGATTGTAACTCATCAAATTCAATTAATTTAAAGTAGGGGAGTGCAAAGGTTTAGAATAGTAAAAATGGTTTTAAGTGAAAGGGTTTAGATCTGAAGTATCAACAAAGCATATCCAGCCTCTATTTCAACTGTAAAACAACTCTAGTTCAAAATTAAATGCAAAAGAAAAGGGAAACAATTTTACACTTCTTTTAAAGGAAACTACGCTTCCATGTTGCTAACCTGAAGTTTTGCTGGTATTATCACTTTTATCCCACGCCAGAAACTATTTATATTGGATAGCCAAAAAAATATATAAAATTTATATAATTTTTGCATATAACATATAAAATATATACAAAAAATATACAAATACATTTTTTCGGCGACTATTCTACGTCACCAGCTTTCATGTAGCCCTTGGCGGCGACTGCATAACAGCATAAGCATCCCATTCAATCAGCAGATGATTTTCTTCCATCTTCATCAAAAGCTTTTCCATCCCTATTACATCAGGAACAGATGCATATGCATTTAAGCGGATATTATAGGAGATACTATCACCTGCAATTCCTTTATATTCCATCTCTTGCACTAACAAGTGTAGTTTCTCAAGGTTTCCCATTTTAGCATAAAGGTTCATCATAAGAGTATAAGTCACTAAATTAGCATCCTGCAAATCCCTCATCTTTTGCATTATTCCTTCCACTTTACTCCATGATTTTGCATCGGCATAGCAGTTTAAAAGAGCACCATACACACAAGAAGCTCTCAGAATATCTGGAGTGCTAGCGAAATACTTCTCTGCTGCTTTCAGACCGTGAGCTTTTGATATCAGATCCAGCCGAACTGCAACATCTCTAGGTGATAGATAAAGACGCTCAGAGTTGTTAATCCATTCATAAATCTGAAACAAAAATAAGAAGCAGGAAATTGAATCTGACATGTACAGCACAGTAAAAAGGGGGGAAACGAGAAGAAACAAATTGCTGGAACCTAGACCAATTTGCACTTATTATTAAGTGAGTGCAGCATGGTTGAGTCAACTCTAATCATTCACTCCTGAGTTGCAACTTGAATTTAGTTTTCCTTTTTAACATATTATTTTATGTTACTGATTGTAAAAATCAGAAGAATGATTTGAAGTTTTTCTTCCTTGTATTTTCATTATCTCATTTTGGAGTACTTGTCTTGGATTATATACAAGTATGAATGAATCTAGGGTTACATCCTACATTGCCAAGTACCTAAATCAAATACATGGAGAGAGCAAATAATTAAATTACATATATAAAGTTGTACATGGAGCAAATAATTATAATACACATTCACATGTGCTATGCACAATGTGAATATACCATCTGAAAGGGCAGGCCCAGAAGTGGGTTGTGGGCAATTAGGCCCAATCCAAAATGCATTGAAGACCCAAGATAGGCCCAAAATACGACTGGCCCATAATTGTTAAATATAACAGATCTGTACATCATCGTCTCTGTACATCATCGGCTCCAACACTGATATCATTGCTTCAGATTATTAACAATGTCTATGCAATAGTGTCAGAAAAAATTTCAAACCTTAAACCTTTTATTTCCAAGGCACCATTGCCATTACCATGTTATGTGACATGCAGTTTAATGTTTTTGTACACAGTTCATTCTTTCATATATTCTTTCCAAAATAAGAAAAGAAAAGGAGAAGAAAAAGAAAAAGATAACTTTGGGTTGCATTTGCTCCCAATTTAACTTTAAAATATATACATATCTAGGTAAAGTAACCCATTGTGATTATTGACCATATATGGAACTTAGTATACATATCTAGGTACTCAGTATTCTTACGCTCTTCATGTTGTTTGTGTTTTGTTGAAGATTTAATATGTTGAGTCACATTTAAAGATGGTATCTGTAGCAAGACTAGTTCCATTGTTGCTTCATCCCCAGAAGCAAAACAAGGGGTTTGGTTCCTGTCTATCAATTTCCTGAAGTTCAGTCCAAATATCAGGAAACATCCTGAAGTTTGAACTATAAGTTCAGGATTTTTTCTTGAAGTTCCTATGGCAGTACAAACTTCAGGGAAAAAACATCAGAAAGGAAAAACCCGAAACACTCAAGTTCAAACAAAGTGGCTATCTTTCAAACTCGTTGGCATTTTAAAGTTGTGGCTATTATTCAAACACTTTATGAACGCTAGCTATATCTCAACTGTGTGCCCTAAAAGTGGCTACATGGTACATGGTATCATTTTTTACCATTGGCTTGGCCCAACCCGTTTAGCGAGGACCAGTCGTAGGATTTGCACCATGTATCCGCTTTTACATGTGTTATTTAAAGCTTACCCAGTTTTTCCAAAGTATTTAAATTTAGGGCTGAAGAGGGCAACTTCAGACAATATACTGCTTGTTCTTCTTTGAATTTGCAGGTGATCTCTATTGTACAGCTTCCACCACCAGCACACGAAATGAACAGCCGGTGGATGACGATGGAGCAAAGTAATCTAAGGGATCGATGAGGAAACCAAAGAAAGAGATTGGAAGTTCAGTGAAGAAAACGCCCACTGAGGATGTGAAAAGGCAGTTGTTCCAAAGATTTTGGAGAAAAAATGACGAAATTGTTATACTAAAGGCATGATTGAATTACAGCTTGAAGAAACAATCTGACCCACATTTAGTTCTGAAGTTAGACTTGGTAGTCCCCCACATCAGACCACAACTTTAGACCCGTAGGTCTGAAGTTTGAAACTTCATACTTGGGAGTTCAACTTCAGTCTCAGACCTGAAGTTGATCCCAAGGAAGAGGCTAGGGTTGCCTTCCTCCTTTTAAATTGTCTTTGGTAGAGATTGTCTTCCTCCTTTTAAATTGGAGCTGCTGAGGAAGAGGCTAGGGTTTCAGAATTGGTATTATACGACAGAAATCGGAGAACCATAAGAGAAGTAGGGCCTGACCATAATAATTTCAGACCAGCAATACTCTGCTGGAGATTCTTCAAGAGTTGAGAAATTAGTGAATTCAGATGACTTAATGCCAATAAGTATTATTTTCAAAATTAATGTAAACTATTTAATATATTATATATCAGAAAAACATTTGAACAAGTTAAGGTAATCACACAAGTCACAATATCAAATACTTCAATACAAGGAGAATGTTTTTTGGAATTTATCATCTCTTGGCTTGCGGGCATAGAGTAGATGGACCGACAGACCGCATCCTATGAACTTACGCGCCCTTGACAAAGCTAATTAAATTAACATCCACAATGTCCCAATTTATGTGATTTAGTACCACAAAGGATAATACCCTTCTATATTAAAAAATAATATAACTTTTTTTAAAAAAATATTTTGTGTCCACTCAAATTACATCACATAAAATGAGACATGAGACAGAGAGAGTAAGTATATTATCTCATCAATCTCTTATAGGGGTGTTCAAAACCAAACCGAAACCGAAAACCGAACCGAAACCGAAGCTTAATGGCTTA